AGACACGTGACCCTTCATTTCTCGGTACTTCATCCTGTGTCTCCTAAGAATAAGCCTGTAACCACAGTACTGTTATTTGGCCCCTAAATGAACAATTCTCTGACACTAATATCTAATATCCAGGCATGTATGAATTTCTCCCAAAATGTCATTCATAGTTGTTTTTTAAGTCAGGCTCCAGTCAAGTTTCGTGTATTGCATTTGGTTGTCATCTCTCTTTAGCCTCTTCTAGAACTGCCTCCCTGCCTCCCTACCTTTTAATCTTTCTTGACACTGACTATTTTGAAAAGCCCAGATGAGTTGTCCTGGAGAAGTCCCACAGTCTGATTTGTTGTTTTGTCTGCTGTGTTTCCTATAAACTAGAAGTTGGTTGAGTTCAGGTTTGAGTTGACTAGTGAGAACCTTGCCCAGGAGTGTTGTATGTATCCTTAGCATCCATCAGTAGCTGTGTGATACCAGCTTGTCCCCACTGTTGGTGATGATCAGTTTGGTCCCCTGGTCAGGGCAGTGCCAGCAGATCTCTCTGCTGAAAGCCATCTGAAGCACTGTCTCCACCAGCAGCCTGGGAAACGTGTGGCACCCCAGGTGCTCAGGTCTGGGGCCTCTGCCTCGCTGAGCACAGTTGGTCACCAGGATGGACCGTGGGGCTTAGACCTCGGATCAGCCAGTCAGGAGTCCTAATGTCACAATCCCCTGCCTGCATTTCCTTCTCTGAGGAAAAATGCGGATATTAAGAAGACTTGCCCACCTGGTGGGCAGAGGCCTCAGCAGGGACCCTGGCCGCTTGGCAAATCTGTTTTTGGGGGCCTCCTGACAACATTGGACCTGTCCTGAGAGTGGGCATTGGCCGAAGCTTTTATATATACTATCCAGTCAGTCAGTTCTCAAGCCAGCCCTGTGTGGCAGTTGCTGTTCTTTATCATCTCTGTTTTGCAGATGAGGAAAGAAGAATCTAGAATAAGTAACTGACTCCCCAAGACCTCCAGTTAGGGAGTAGAGGAACCTCAGCTGGTCAGCAGGTACTGCTCAGCTGGCAGGGGGTGCTGTTGCCTAGCTGGAGGGGCCTACGCCCACCTCCAATCCCCACTTGCAGGCGGGAGTAGCTTCGCCACCTAGTGACCAAGATCTGGCTGCTCAGAGGGGTTAAGCCATCGACCCACGTCACCCAGTTTCTTCATGTGTCATATGGCGAGACACAATAGCTTAGGACTGCTCTGGAGATTTAAAATGGATCTGGGACCATTTCATGTGATCTTCCAGGCAGAGTACCTCCCACTTCCACAGATGAAGAAGCTCAGTGCTCCAGAGAGGCAGGAGGCCACCCAGGGCCCCGCAGGCCCCAGGGAGCCTCCCCAACCACCAATACCCAGCTGTAGGCTTTACGACGTGTGTACTTCTGCACTGACAGCCCGCTGTGTCTAGGTGTCTGTGGTGTCTGTGTTCACCTGGGGGTGGGAGGTCACGGGGGAGGCAGGTGTCACTGAGTCATTCAGCTGGCTCTCCTGGCAGCCAGGCCACGGTGGACGAGGATCATCAAGCTGCTCGTATCCAGCTGGCATATCAGATTGTCCCCTTGTCAGTCTTGACTCATCTGTGCGTGGCCCACGGCTGCCTGCAGGGACACCATTTGTGAATCCTGGGCTAGTGCCCAGGGAACTTTCTGGAATCCCAGCTGCTGTCTGAGAACATGGGGGTGGGAGGGGTGGGGTGAAGTTTTAGGTCCCTGAAGCCCTCCACCAGGGGTGTGTGGCTGTGCTGTTTCTGGCCTGTGACTACTCAGGCCTCGGTTACCATGTCTACAAAATGGGAACAACAAATCATAGCTGAGTGAGACGGACCCAGAGATTAGATGACATGTATGAACAGGCCCAGCTATGTCCATTTTTGCTCATCATGATTCCCAAAGCACAAGGGCCTGGCACACAGTAGTAGGTACTTAGTACAGGTCAGTGGAATGAATGAATTGAGACTTAGAACAGAAGGACTGGGGTGTGGGAGCTGTGGTGTAAGGAGGGCCGGGAATACTGAAATCCAGCCAAGTTGCCTTTGCAGCATTTTGCTACCCGAGGGAAGGGGAAGGGCATGGGGTCCCACAGAGAAAAGGTGGGTATGGGGGAGAGGGGAGAGGTATCTGCATCTGCCCCTCTCCTGGGCAGACCACCATTCTGGAGAGAATGGAGCAGAAGCAGGAAAGAAGAAGCAGGAGAGGGCCCAGGGATTCACTCAACCTGTCCTGTCCAACTAAGGGTGATAATAAAAGTGTTCATATCGAGATATTACTATAGGCCAGACATGTGCCAACCACCTTACCTCTGCATTTTGTGTTATTTATATCTTATAACAAACCCCATGAAGACATTATCCCTGTTCTACACAAGCGGGAACTGAGGCTCAGCCAAGCTAAATGGGCAGAGGTGAAACAGCTAGTAAGGTGCAGAGCTGGGATTTGAAGGCTGGGCTATCCTAGGGGTATTCAAGCCTCAGTTTGCTCCTTCTGGGCAGCCAAGCTCAGCCCAGAGAACTGAGAGGACCAGGAGGTGGGAATGGGGGTGTTTCAAGGTCATGTCCTGGCATGGTTCCCCTGGCCCCTGGCCATACCGATGCTTGTGATGGGTCTGGCCTGTTGCAGAATGCTTGGGGCCTGAGTGGCCCAATGTGGATGCAGTTCCCTTGGCAATGAGGAAACATTGCTGAGGTCAAGAGCTTAGATTATCAGAGGGGAAACCCAGCCCTAATTCCTTGCATGGCTCCCTGCTTGGAAGGACCACAGCTACCCCCCACACCCACCCTCTGTTGGACATCCAGGGGCTCTTGTCAGCAGCAAGGTCATGTGTAAGGTGGTTAGGAGGGGCCATAAGCAGCCCAGCAGCGTTCCTGATGGGAAGTAGTTTGCTGGCTCTTAAGACTTTTGTTCCTTTTGTTTTGCTTTGTTGTTTTTTAATTTTTTGGCCGTGCCACACGGCATGTGGGATCTTAGTTCCCCAATTGGGGATCGAACCCGTGCCCCCTGCACAGGAAGCGCAAGGTCTTAACCACTGGACTGCCAGGGAAGTCCCAAGACTTTCGTTCTTTGACAGAAGGCTTAACCCATGACTCCCTCTTCCCTCTGGATCTCGTCCAGGAAGCTAGAGCCAACATGGGATTGCCCAGGCCTCCAAGACCCCCCAGGCCACGTGAAGAACACAAATAGATAGATCACCCCTCAGTCCAGGCCTTGTCTAACTTTGAGGACCTCAAGTACCAGACGGGCCTGCATGAACCCTCTTAAGCAGGCCCTCCTCATTCCAAGGCCCTCTCAGATGTTGCCAAGGAAACTGATGCAGCAGTCAGACAGACCTGACCCAGGTCTCCATGACAACCTACAGCAGCCCACTAGGATCCATCCCTCCGTGATGTCACCTGAGCCCTGAATGGGTGCCCCCCACCCCCACCACACTCATCACAATCGTGCGTCACTCCAATAGCGAGTCCCTGCCACAGAGTACCTCACAGCGTGCCTGTTCCCAGTCTCCACACACCCCAAACGTGAGCAAGGCAGTTTATAGCTGGCCACCCTGAGGCTGGGAGGGAGGCAAGACCCAGGAGCCTGGAGGCAGATTCGGGACTAGAGCCCAAGCCTCCCCATTACATCTCCTCCCCTCTGTGCCCCAGCACCCTCCCTGGGTTGAGGAGGGGCTGATCTCTGGGTAGTGGTAGCACCAAGTGGTGGCTAAACCCCCACCCCGCTGACCCCATCCCTACTCTACAACTATGCCCCTTCTGAATGGGAGCCTGAACCTCCAGGCCCTGTGTGTGCCCTGAACTGCAGGCGCAGTCTGAGACTAAAGGGAAGGAAGGAGACATTGCAGACTCTTAGAGTGGCTGGAGCTGGACCTGACCCTGGTCTAGTCTCACCCCTATCCGCTCCTGCTGGCATCTGACACCTGTCTGCCAGGATTTCCCCAACTTTGGGCAACCTCCAGGCCAGGACCAGAATGACCAGGGCCGGGTATTTTTAGCAGAGTTACAGGCAGCTGCCTGGAGGGCGCTGAGGGGGAGGTGGTGCTGACTTCATCCTTTTCCTTCTCTGGGCCTGTATTCCCTCCCCAAGGTTCAAGCTGCCCCTCTACCTGCACCACACTGCCAGCGGGCCTCCCTTCCTTGCCCCCTCCCCCAAACAGCTCTCCAAGGGCCCCCAGGGGCTCAGGTGTCACTAACCCTCATCCTGAAGGGCAGGCTCATCAGGTGGAATCTTCAGCTGCCAAGGGCAGGGATGAGAGTGGGGAAGGACCTGGTGCTGAGGCTAGAAGGCTGGATTTAGGGCCCCTAAATTCTAGCTCAGATACCAGCAGGTGGGGAATGGGTGACATGGGCAGTGAAGGGTGAAGTCTGTCCAACCTGTAACTGGTCTGCTTGCTTGGGCGACAGGCCAGGACTGGGAGAGAGGGAAAGGAGAAATCACTTTTAAAGGGCCAGACCTCAATTCTTCCCTAGTGGGGACTTGGCGCACTTGGCTGGTCGGGGCTTTCCCCCTGGCCCCCACCCGTGGTGGCACCCTCCACCTCCATCGCCCTCCTCCGCACCATTCACGTGCTCCCTTTCCTTCTCCCTTTTCCCTCCTTACCTGCCCCCCTCCTCCCCAGCCCCCCCCGCCACACACACACACACACACACACACACACACACACACACGCTCAGACCGGGCTGTTGTCTGCGGAGTCTGCCCCTGCCCCGCCCTGGCGGGTGAGGCGGGAGCTGGGTGGGTGTGAGGTTCTAGGAGGAGGGCGGGGAATTCCCCTCGGGAGAGGGGGACGGACATGTCAGCCCCCGGACAGCGCAGCCCTGAGCGAGCGCGGGGGTGGCGGCGGGGGCGGGCAGAGGCTTAAATAGGCGGCTCTGGAGCCCGGACCCGGTGCGGACCGAGAAGGCAGCGGCTGCGACAGCGTCGAGTGTCCGAGCCTGGGTCTGCGAGTGGATTGTATCCGAGCCCGGGACCTACCTAGTCCTGACCGCGTCCGTGTGTGACTGGGTAAGTGTCCTGGCAGAGCGGGGTGGGGGTGGTCTCACCGTCTAGGATGAACGAGTCAGGAGGATGGGTCACAAGTTAGGGCGCAAGGACCTTCTGCGGCATGTCCTGGGCCCTGAGCATCTTTCTTGACCCGTGGTCGGGCAGGCGCGTCCCGGGTCCAGCTTCCCACTCCATCTCCACCGCGGCTCACGCGGCCATCTGGATTCCCGTTCCCCAGACGGCGTCCGACGCGATGACTCTGAACGGCGGCGGCAGCGGAGCGGGCGGGAGCCGCGGTGGGGGCCGCGAGCGCGAGCGCCGTCGGGGCAGCACACCCTGGGGTCCGGCGCCCCCGCTGCACCGCCGGAGCATGCCTGTGGACGAGCGCGACCTGCAGGCGGCGCTGGCTCCGGGAGCTCTGACAACGGCCGAGGCTGGGACTGGGGCCCAGGGTCCGAGGCTGGACTGGCCCGAGGGCTCCTCCGACTCGCTCAGCTCAGGAGACAGCGATTCAGACGAGAGCATTTACAAGGTGCTGCTGCTGGGGGCGCCTGGCGTCGGCAAGAGTGCTCTGGCGCGCATCTTTGGTGGTATAGAGGACGGGCCTGAAGCAGAGGCCGCAGGTGAGGGGCTGGGAGGGACTGTTCAAGGGAGGGGCGAGCACAGGGTTAGGACTGGGAGCTACAGGACTGGGGACCAGGGTTAAAAGCAGCAGATAACAACGGGATTCTGAAGACACTTTGAGAATCTGCCTCTACCTACCCCTTTCACAGATGGGGAAACTAAGGGAGAAGGTACCCCAGCCCTTAGTAGGGAAAGAAGTGCTTAGAGTAGTAGAAGGGCATACGATTAATTACTCTGTAGTCTGGGGACAGGATATCCCTCCCTGCCAGGATGGGCAAGAACCCAGCCAGAGGGAGTTTCTAGGAGAGGAGTCCTAGGTAACCAAGGTCCCCAGGGGATGTCTGTTCTAACTCAGGCCACTGTGGTCAGAACCACCCTGGGTCTCAGGCTACAGGAGGGCAGGGAGCACAGGAGTGGCTACCCAGGACATTGCTAGCTTGGGGAAGGGGTGCCTAGGTGGAGGCCAGGCACACCGTGCCCTCCAACCCCCCATTTCTCAGCCCTGTCACTTCTGTTGCTACATAGCAGCCATCAGTGGAGGAGAAGGTTAGGAGGGCTCTGGGGAGGAGTTGAAGGGTGTGGCCAGAACAGGAAACCTGGTGTATTGGAGGAGGGCGGCTCTTGGCAGCCAGCAGGTAACCTGACTACTGGTCTCCTGCCTAGGGCACACGTATGATCGCTCCATCATGGTGGATGGAGAAGAGGCAGCGCTCATGGTCTATGACATTTGGGAGCAGGTAAGATGCAGGCTGAGACCAGGACAGGGTGGGATGGGTGAGCTGGGGGTAGGAACCTGCTGGGAGTGACAGCCTTGTAGCTGGGGCGTGAGGACTATTGGGTAAATATGTGTCTGTGTTCCCTAGGATGGGGGCCGCTGGCTACCTGGCCACTGCATGGCCATGGGAGATGCATATGTCATTGTGTATTCAGTGACGGACAAGGACAGCTTTGAGAAGGCCTCAGAGCTTCGGGTCCAGCTGCGGAGGGCGCGGCAGACAGAAGACGTGCCCATCATCCTAGTGGGCAACAAGAGCGACCTGGTGCGCTCTCGTGAGGTCTCCTTGGATGGTGAGCAGGGAGTGGGTCAGAAAGGGAGGGAGATCCTGGCTGGGCTGTGGTCCACTCAGTCTTGACTCAGCTCGAGTCCCTGGGGATCATCAGTGGCTAAAAATGTTTAGGAAGAAAACTCAGGGAGATGGGGGAGAGCTTCTGCCCTCCCACAGGACTCCCAAAGACCTGAGTGCTGGGGAAAGGACCAAATGAGCTAGGGGAGGTGAAGGCTGCTGGACGCTGGGCTGGGCCACCTCAGAGCCCTCCTTTTCTGTCTTCTTTGTCCCTGGCCTGGCATATGAGGGGTGAGGAGAGTGCAGGGAATCAGGCCAGGAGTTCAGAGCCTGGATTCCAGGCCAGGGCCAGTCTCAGCATAGTCTTGCCCTTGGGGAGCACCCCCCTCTTGGACTCAGCATCATCCTCTGTGGCCCCCAGACCTGAGCCCCGCAGAGGAACCAACCGTGACTTGGTGATGTCCCCCCTATTCTACCCATCATTCATCATGATATAACATCAAGCCATAAAACACTAAGCTGTTCAGCAAAGTTTTCATTTTGTTGACTACTACAGCACTTCCATTTAAATATCAAACTTCAAATTATTTCAATAAATGAGTCTCCTTTTGTGGGCCTCTGTGAGCTCCTTAAACGTGGGCACGCTCTGCCAATTGGGTGACCCAGTGATGCCTGGGCCCCTCTGTACAGGAGCTGGTGTCTTTGTGTTTCTGGGGAAGACCCAGGGATGTGGTAGCTGCCATGGGGTGGCCAGGGTTTGAGTGGGCTGCTCACCCCCCGCCCCACCCTTTGTTTATTGACTTGTGCCTGTCCGCACCCACACCAGAGGGCCGGGCCTGTGCCGTGGTCTTCGACTGCAAGTTTATTGAGACGTCGGCTGCGCTGCACCACAATGTCCAGGCGCTGTTTGAGGGTGTCGTGCGCCAGATACGCCTGCGCAGGGACAGCAAAGAGGCCAACGCACGTCGGCAAGCGGGTACTCGGCGGCGAGAGAGCCTTGGCAAGAAGGCGAAGCGCTTCCTGGGCCGCATCGTCGCTCGAAACAGCCGCAAGATGGCCTTGCGTGCCAAGTCCAAGTCCTGCCACGACCTCTCCGTGCTCTAGGTCCTGGGGCACTCACCGTGTTGTGCAGACAGATGGGCAGATTGGTGGGCTGGCCCAGCCAACTGCCCAAGGTGCCCCAGGGCTGGCTCAGACTCTGGGTATCCCCCACCTCATGGTCATGGACAGAGAGACAGTGCTGCCCAAGGAGGTGGCTCCCAGTGGCCATCAAGGGCTGGGCCCACAGAGATGCCTGTGCAGGCCCATGTGCATCCACACAGCAGCCTGAGCCCAGCCTGTGGAGCAGGCCTATGAGTGGGGAGAGGACTCTGCCTTTCTCTACACCCGTGGTGTGCATGCCCTGGAGGGAGGCTGTTCAGTGCCGTGGCTATTTGTTTACATGCAGATTTTTGTAATAAAGACTATTTCCTGATAGGTCAGGGCTGTTGACTCTGTGTTTCCTTTGATTGGGGGGCTGCAGGAGCAGGAAGGTTTCCTGAAGTTGAGGAACATACAAGGCTGGTTCCTGAAGCCGCCCCACCCTAGTGTGTGGCCTTGACTATTCTAATGTTTGGGCCCAGATATAGCCAGCTGGGTCAGAGGGGCAGGTGTGGGTGGGGACCTGGTTGGGGAGTCTAAGCAGCAGGAAGAGACATGAATCCCACCCAGCCCGTTATCCAGATTCTTCTGAGCTGGAGCCTGGCATTGCCTAGCTGATAAAAGGCTCAGTTACCCCACTGTATGTAAGGGAAATGGAGGCTGCCCAAGGGACCACGTCCTGCCCCAGGTGTCATGGCCAAACAAGAACCCTGGGTCCGGCTCCTGGGCGGGTGTCTCTGCCCTGCTCCCCACTGAGGGACTGGAAATCTGCTGAGGTGGAGTGGCTGTGGAAGACTTCTGAGACTCCCTGGCTGGAGAAGGAGGCCGCTGGTTTGTTAAGGCTGGGATGAGGAAGGCGCACTCAGGCGGACTTGAGTCCACATGTCTCCCCACCTCCCGGCTGAGGCTGGCCTACTAGGAAGGGAGTGGGGGGCGGAGGACAGGGAGGGTTCACTGTTCTCCCCGCTGTGAGTGGCCAGGCCAGAGCATCCCATGCTCCGCATTGGCTAATGTGGGAGCAGGTCCCTGGAGCCCTCCTTTCCTGGAAGGAGAGTCCTTGCATTTGCGCATAATGGAGGTGTGCATCTCCCCACCACCCACACCTGGGAAGAGGAGCCTTCTGGGCATTGGTGCCTGCTAGGAGTTTTCCCGCATCATTTCAGGAGGGAGCATCCCCATTCAGCAATGGCAGACAGGGGACAGAAGCACTTGCCCGAGGCCACACGGGCAGAAGTGGCTGAGTGGGGACTGGTATATGTCTGCCCACCTTGGGAGACCAGAAGCAGCCTGGGGCAAGGCTGGGGACAGTTTCTGAGAAGGTTCCAGGCCAGGGTCCATACATTTTTTTTAAAATTTATTTTTATTTTAATATAGCAGTTTCTTATTAGTTATCTATTTTTATACATATTAGTGTATATATGTCAATCCCAATCTCCCAACTCATCCCAACACCTTCCCCACCCCTGCTTCCCCCATTGGTGTCCATACATTTGTTCTCTACATCTGTGTCTCAATTTCTGCTCGGCAAACCAGTTCATCTGTAGCATTTTCTAGGTTCCACATATATGCGTTAATATATGATATTTATTTTTCTCTTTCTGACTTACTTCACTCTGTATGACAGTCTCTAGATCCAACCACATCTCTACAAATGACCCAATTTCGTTCCTTTTTATGGCTGAGTAATATTCCATTGATTCTATGTACCACATCTTCTTTATCCGTTCATCTGTTGATGGGCATTTAGGTTGCTTCCATGTCCTGGCTATTGTAAATAGAGCTGCAATGAACACTGGGGTGCATGTGTCTTTTTGAACTATGGTTTCCTCTGGGTATGTGCCCAGTAGTGGGATTGCTGGGTCATATGGTAATTCTATTTTTAGTTTTTTAAGGAACCTCCATACTGTTCTCCATAGTGGCTGTATCAATCTACATTCCCACCAACAGTGCAAGAGGGTTCCCTTTTCTCCTCACCCTCTCCAGCATTTGCTGTTTGTAGATTTTCTGATGATGCCCATTCTGACTGGTGTGAGGTGATACCTCATTGTAGTTTTGATTTCCATTTCTCTAATGATTAGTGATATTGAGCATCTTTTCATGTGCCTCTTGGCCATCTGTATGTCTTCTTTGGACAAATGTCTATTCAGGTCTTCTGCCCGTTTTTTGATTGGGTTGTTTGTTTTTCTAATATTGAGCTGCATGAGCTGTTTATATATTTTGGAGAGTAATCCTTTGTTTATTTGCTTGCAAATATTTTCTCCCATTCTGAGGGTTGTCTTTTCATCTCATTTATAGTTTCCTTTGCTTTGCAAAAGCTTTTAAGTTTCATTGGGTCCCATTTGCCCCCTCATTGGGGGCAGGGCCCCTGGTCAGCTCTGCAATTCCCTCAAGGTCACCTGAGCTGGCTCAGTCTTTTCTCTCCTTCTCAGAGGCACAAGACAGTACATTTTCCCAGCCCGGTCGGTGTCCAGGGGCTAGTGTGAGCACTTAGGGAGGCTCAGGGGATCTCACAGGCTGCTGTCCCCCCACCCCACCCCCTGGTCCCACTGGTGGGTGGTGTGGAGCCCTAAGTATCCAGTTCAGGTAATGCACTGCTCCCCTATCCTGCACGTGCCACCTCTAGCTCCTTATCTTAGTTCCACAAGCCACCTGGGAGCTGCCAGGGCCGGGCAAGGGCCAGATCATTACTGGGTCCCTGATTCTTGCTCTGGAGGGCTTCCCAGTCTGATGGAAGAGACAGCCAATGACAACCTGGTGTCCTCTCTGTGTTGATAGAGATAGCACTTGTCATGGGGGCGTGGGGGAGGGCCAGATATTCCCACAGGAGAACGCTGAACAAGCTTGGGAGTCCAGGGAAGAGTTCCCGGGAGAGGGGAATATTTGAGCTGAGTACTGAAGCCGGAGCAAGTGCTTAGCAGACAGATGAAGGGGTGGGAAGGGCATTCCAGACAAAAGGAACAGAGTGGGCCAAGGCAGAGCTGCACATGCTGGTACGCAGCAGGGAGAAGGGGGAGCGAGTCTGGAGCCACGGAAAAAATAGTCAGGTCCAAACCCAGAGGGCTGAGAAGTATCCACTGGGCCATGTAGGGGTGGGACAAGCGCCAGGTCGATGATCTCCCCACCCCCTGGGGCCGGCGGTCATGGATGCTGAGCAGCCCCCAGCTTTCCAAAGTCAATGAGTAACTTGGGGGGCTGGGCAGGGCCAGGCCTGCTGCTGTGGGCCCAGTGGTGTTTTCCACTCCTGAGCGAGCATGGCTGGCCCGCCTACCTGCTCAAGTGTCCGCCCTGCCCTGTTCCACCCGGTCCGGCCTGGCCAGCACTCCCCGTAGAAAGAGTTCTCTCACCTGGAGGCTGGACCAAGGAAGCCAACCTCAGGCACCGGCGGGTGAGGGTCTGGGAGTGGAGGGTGGGCAGGGCTGAGGCTGGTGTTGGTGGTGGGGGAAGGAGAAACACTGCCCTGTCGTCCAGGGAAGAGTTCCCGGGACTGGTTGGCGGGGCTGTCTGTGCTCTGTGCGCCCAGCTCCGCGCTAACTGCTGGAAAATGCTGAGACGAGGGCAGGGCTCCTGCCCCGCGGGGACTCCCCCATGGCTGAAGGATGGCAGTGGGCGGTAGAACAGTCCTGTAGACCCTGAACCCTGAGTCCTCTGTTCCAGGAGGAGTTCTCCTGTGGTCAAGTCTTCCATGACCTTGGTCAGGCTCTGCCCTTCAGGCCTTGCCGGCAACGTGAGGCGACCACAGGAAGTGGCCCTCAGAGTCGTCAGGGTCTTTCGAGCTTCAAACTTTTGTGACTTGGGGTGCTTCTGGGAAATGACCACTTTGGGATCTACGAGCTGGGGAGGCCATGGGGGGAAGGAGACAAAGATCTGGAGGTGAAACTCCCATGGAGACCCTTGTGGGCACAAGAATGAAGAAATGCAGGGCAGCTGGGCCTGGGGGTCTTGATGGGCCTGGCCAAGGAGCTGGACACTACCCTGCAGGCAATGGGGAGCGGCAGGCCCTTAAAAGGGGAGGAAGAGGAGGCCAGTCTGTCCTGAGGGCCCTCTGGCTATGTGTATGCAGTGGGCTCAGGCAGGGGACAAGGGCGGGGGCAGTGTCCAAGTGGGTGGGAGGGGGAGGGGCAGCTCTGAGAGTTGCTGGTCCAGCTGAAAAAGGAGGGACCGTTGTACCCCATGGGGCCTGGGGAAGCCATGGCCCCGGGGCTGAGGGGGGATGAGGGGAGGAAGACTTCCTAGAGAGAGGAACCATCTTGCCCACTGATCTGGGCTGGATCCTTACTGCCATGTCCCTCAGGCCCATCCTGACCATGGTTCCTGCCTGGCTGTGTCTGCTTTGCCTCTTCATCCCCCAGGTGAGCTGGGCCCTGCTCCTCACCCTCAGATCCTAGCTTTGGTTGGTACCCTCGCCCGCTACTCTGCCTGGACCAGTTGCACTGACTATGGATGGTAGTGTTTGGGGGATGGTGATGAGGGCTGGCTACAGGCCTGTTGTGGGGTCAGGAGGTCAAAGGCCAGGGGGTGGATGGGCTAAGGTATGGCCAGGCCCAGGGAAGGGGCAGAATTCCCCTTCCCTGTCAGGTCCCGGCCCCCACGGCAGGAAGGTACAGCTTGCTGACGTGGTGAGAATCCTCCCACAGGCTTTCCCCGGGGCCCAGCCTGCAGAGGTGTATGTGGACGTCCCGGAAAACTACGGTGGAAATTTCCCTTTGTACTTGACCAAGGTGAGCCTGAGATATGCGTGGGCTGCCCTCCCCACAAGTCCTGCTTCCCCTACCTCCAGCACTCCTTTCTCTTTCTTGCTCTGGCTTTCTTTCAACCCTGCTTTCGAGACAGTATGTGGTATAGCGTGAATGACTAATAAGATTTTAATCCCAGAAGAAAGTAGAGCTTTAAGTTTAAGGATGAAGTGATGGGGGGGGGTTTCAAGCTTTAGAAAGTAGGTCACAGAGTATAGAGAGCATCAGGCACAGAGGAAGGAGCCCTGGCTTTGAATTTCCACCCTGTTGCTTACTGGCTTTGTGACCTCAGGCAAGTGCCAACTCTCTCTAAGCCTCAGTCTCCCCACATATAAAATGGGGCCATAAGATGGAGCGGGCATCCTCCAGGCCCGGCCCCCACTCTCTTCACCTCTGTTCTCTCCTCGCCAGCTACCACTGCCCCGTAAGGAGACTGAGGGCCAGATTGTTCTGTCAGGAGACTCAGGCGTGGCAGCTGAGGGCCCCTTTGCTGTGGATCCACAGTCTGGCTTCCTGCTGGTGACCAGGGCCCTGGACCGGGAGGAACAGGCAGAGTACCAGCTACAGGTACGACTGGGCCAGGGGTAGGAGAAAGCCACCAAG